CGCCAGGCTGGGGCGCAGCGGACACCGCAGCTGCCAGCATCTTCTTGCGGGGCTGAGGGGACAGGCTTGCCCCATCACACCCCTCCTCCTCCAGCAGCCTCCAGCCGGCCAGTCTGCCCCGCATTAGGGTGTGCCCAGGCACACCCAGCACACCCTGTGCGCAGGCCTATGGAAGCCAGGGGTATTTAAATCCCGGCTTCATTGATTATGTCCGGTAGCCTATTTTACATGCCTCTGTCAGCAGAAGCATGTAGTCTAGACATATCCATGGGCTGTGTCTAGACTGGTAAGTTTTTCTGCAAAAGCAGCTGCTTTTGCAGAAAAACTTGCCAGCTGTCTACACTGGCCGCTTGAATTTCCGCAAGAACACTGATGATCTCATGTAAGAAATCAGTGCTTCTTGCAGAAATACTATGCTGCTCCCGTTAGGGCAAAAGTCCTTTTGTGCAAAGCTTTTGCGCAAAAGGGCCAGTTTAGACAGCTCAGATTTGTTTTCTACAAAAAAGCCCTGATTGCGAAAATGGCGATCGGGGATTTTTTTTGCAGAAAAGCGCGTCAAGATTGGCACGGACACTTTTCCACAATAAGTGCTTTTGCGGAAAAGCGTCCGTGCCAATCTAGACACTCTTTTCCACAAATGCTTTTAACTGAAAACTTTTCCGTTAAAAGCATTTGTGGAAAATCATGCCAGTCTAGATGTAGCCATAGAGTGAGAGGAAGCAGTCCTGCAGTGATGTGTGCTGGGTCCAATTCTGTTCAATATATTCTTACATGATTTGGAAAATGGCATACAGGATATATTTACAAAGGTTGCAGATGATAACAAGCTGAGAGGGATTTGCAAGCACTTTGGATGATAGGATTAGAGTTCAAAATCATCTTAACAAACAAGAGGAATGGTTTGAAATTGATTTTTTTTACCCTATTTTAGACAAAGTGCAAAGTACTCCACCTAAAAAGGTACAAAACAGGCAAAATGAGAAATGACAGCCCAGGAAGGAGTACTATAGAAGGATCTGGGCTTATAGTGTATAGGTCAACATGTTATATTGATGCAATAAAAAAAGCAAGCAAGAATTTCCCTACTACGATAGGTGAAATTAACATGCCCCTTCCGGAAAAGGGGCCAGTGTAGACGTAGCCGGGAAGTAATTCTTCTGCTCTACTCTGTGACCTCAGCTGGAGTACTGTATCCAGTTTTGGGCATCAAGCTTCAGGAAAGGTATGGGCAAATTAGAGAATCCAGAGTAAAGCAACAAAAAAGATTAAAGGTCTAGAAAATGACCTACAAGGAAAGATTGAAAAAAATGAGTATGTTTAGTCTGGAGAAGAGAAGACGGACAGGGAGGTGTAACAGTCTTCAAATACATAAAAGATGGTGATTAAGTGGAGGGTGATAAA